TCAGGCACGATTTATTCGAAACCACGTCATAAATGCCAACTTGTTTTAAGGTTATCACCAACGTGGACCAATAAAAAGTCTTTCGCGGCGTTCTCACCGCATAAACTTTTCTCCTACCGTCCGAGACGCTTTATGTATTATTCATAGAAGCAAACCAGGCACCGAACTAAGAGTCCGATTTGATGTCTCACTCGGCTAATAGATTTATATGCACCGTGTTGTCGTTTGCATATATTTGTAACCGAAACGGCGACGCGTAGGCGTTGCGTTCTCGTAATTAGCATACAGATGGGAGTGTGGGTTCGATTCTGGCGGTTTTTAGAAAGTTCCGATGATATTTATTATGACAGCATTCGTGCCGCAGAGCCGGCTTGTCTATGATTTATAAAAACGGCCGGCCTATGGGCGGTGACGCGATACCTCGCCCGTCCCACTCGCACCGATGCGCGCACAGCGTTGTGGGACTGGGCCGGGGAGAGCGGCCGCCGTGTGATGCGTCCGTAACGAAACCACCTACGTACGTTATATCACGATTTACGATCGGCCGCGAAGAATCGCGCAGAAATCTCCCATTCACATATTCACACCTCCGCCATCGAACATCGGGAAAGCAGGGCAACGGTTTGTTTTAATGAAACGATTATTAGTTATGACTCCTATTAGGAATTCGTAATAACTTGAGGACTCCTGAGCTCCGTTTTGACCCGAAGACTTAAACATGAAGGTAAAATATATTTTCCTTTTTAAAAAATTATATATTATTTCGCATATGTGCCTATGGGCCAAATTTATTAACAACAGTAACATGCTTTCTAGATACCATTGTTAAGGTTATGAAGCACGCGTCTATAGAATCCAAGAAAGATCCATCCATCTAAGATCTTGGCCAAAGAAGCCGTAGTATCGACTATTTTCGCCGAAATGATGTAAAATCATTCACCTTATCTGAGAGAATTAGGTGGGAAGATATAGGTGATAGCGATTTAAACTTGTTTGATTCGTTTTGATGAGTTATCCATATTCAATTAATAGAGTGAAAAATTATAAGGTAAATATAGTTTAAGGGGTCAAAGTAACCAGTATTATAAAGTGTTTTTTGTTCAATTCATGTTTTCATGTTTTGAAATCGTACAGTGCTGCGTCTGACGTAAATTAACAGATAACCTTATCACAGTATATTAATTACTTCTATTAAGCAATTCTAATCGGGAGTATCTACCAATCCAAGCTTCAATTGATATTATATTTAACAATTTCTCTTTTAACTTAAATTTTTACCACTATAAAGGTTTAATTTTATTACAAAGTAAGTTAACATTCATTACGCCAAGGTTTACTATGTTAAAATTGTTGTTTTAGTAATTACATCTTGCGTTAGTTTAAGTTATTACCATCATTCCTTGACGGGTTCTCTCATTGACGCAGTCGGTCCCAAGGCTGGTTACTTACCTACGGTTGCTGAACGTTTTTAAAAATTTGGATCAGGTTTATTGCAGTGTTTATTTTAGGCATTATTGCAAAACGTGAATGAAATTGTAAGATCAAATAGTTTTATCTAAATGTCAAATATTCCTTCCAAAGTCTAAAATGTGTAAAATTAAGATGTTTTCGTTAACAAACACGATTTGATGTTACTGTTATTACAAAAAAATATAAGAAAATAAGACAGCAGAGAATCTCGCCTGTTGATCCTTAGAATGATAATTCCCAATCAACCAGTTCACAATTTGGTAAACCGGTTAACAAATAAATAAAAATTATGAATTTGTGAACCGGTGGTACATTTTGTCATTCACAACCCTAAGGGTTTTAAGGAAATTTTATGTAGCAGCAGCTTTTGTTGTTACATCAATGGGCTCTACCGGTAACAGAACAGTGCCTCATAGAAGAATGTTCTCTTCATTTGGTAGATGTTTTATTTTATAAAAAAAAGCATTGCCCTTATACTATGGGATAAAATTATCCTGTGTTGTAAGGACGTTTTTTTTATGTGATAAGTTGCCAAACGAGCAGACGGTTCACCTGATGTTAAGTGAATACAGCCGCCCATAGACATCTGCTGCACCCGAGGGTTTACAGATGCGTTGACAATCTTTTTAGAAATTGGGCTCCGGCTATCTCACTCACCAGACGAAACGCGAAAGTATTTGTCATACTTTCACTTTACGTCGGTCTTTTGTGAGGTCGTGGTACTTACCCGGACGAGCCTGCCCATTCGTGCAACAGCCGAGGCTGCTGCGTGGCCCTACCACTCGTTTTACAAACATAAATTTCACGTAGACAAACACTCAGATGCGGAACAACTATCCATGGGTCACACAAATAGTTGTCCCGTGTGGGAATCGAACCCACGACCCCCGACGCCGAAGCCGATACCTTGGCGACTGCGCCACGGAGTCCTCAAATGTGTGATCATGAGAGATGTGTGATCATTATTGTGATAGCTTAGTCACAACGCAACAGTCTTCAGTTTAGATTTCGTAGATTTCTACTCACTCTTCGGAAATTCGTCACTTTTCTGATTAATCCCGTCCACAACAGTGTTAACAACATCAAGTGGGTCGAAACTGCTTTGCCGACCGTACTTAAGGGTCAGGTAGAAACGTGAATTGTTCTCAACGAAAGCCGCATGTAATACCACAGACTCCGCGACCAAAACTGGTCGGGTTCAACGACCCCCCACTCATTAGTTTCTGATCGCCCCGACTCCAATGCCGTGGAGTTATAACGCTTAATTGGTCATTAATCGAAAATTGATTTTATCGTGCGCGCGTAAAGTCGACATTCCCGTGGTTTTCGGATCGCTCGGTTTGTTTTTTTTTTAATATTATTATTATTTACACGCACACACAACTGGTTCTCGTCATTTAGACGGTTGAAATGATAAAATTCCTCGGGCCGGTAACTATAGATTAGAAAATTTTTCTAAGCCCCGTTCTGGGAACGTTCGTAAGGTTGTGGGGTCGGACTTGGAGCCTGTTATTCCAGTAGTCGTTCAAGAACCGGTGTTCCGAGCGGAACATCGAGTAAATTACGTGCGTGTAAAATTCATATGAAATAGTAATGACGTACCATCGTAAAAGTTATTTATTTGTAATTAACCTCAACTTCGTAGGCGATCAATACGTGCGTATAGATATGAACACATTTATACAGACTTAATGTTATTTTCAATGATAAAGTGGAGTGAAAATTGGTTAAGGGAAATAAAAATTGACTTAATGAGTATTAGTAAAAAAAAACCGGCCAAGTGCGAGTTCGACTTGCGCACGAAGGGTTCCTTGCCATCCTTACTTAATATTATACAGGCGAAAGTTTGTATGTATGGGTGGATGTTTGTTACTCCTTCACGCAAATACTACTGAATGGATTCAGAATCATCAGAATAACACATACATGAGATATGGTGACAGACGGTCAGACAGACAGACAGCGGAGTCTTAGGGTCTCGTTTTACCCTGTGGGTATGGAAACGGTCTCTACAATACCAAGCGGTTACGCAATCAATCTATATAAGACTCTACTAATTTACTAATTAAATACATATCATAGACTAACAAACATACACTACAAAAAAAACTATGTTCATCACACAGTATTTTTCCAGTAGTAGGGAACGAGTACACATCCAATGAGACAATGTTTACATGTTCACCATCCACTACGCCAACCTGGTCCTCATGTTTCAAATCGAAATGTCAATCGTCAATAACCAAAACAAATTGCGGCACTAAATGATTGCCCACAGAGAGGAAAATTACACCAATCTCAGTTCAAGACGTTCCGTGCTATTGGTTACATAGCATTGATTTCGGCGTCTCTCCCGGGATTGGCGATTTGTATGGGCACTGCGGACTATCCGTGAGGGAATGCGCCGTGGCCGGGGTCTCCGAATTTGCATTGAATAGACCGAAAAAACATTCATTCCACAAACACCGTGCGATGGCGATTATTCGAAATGTAGTTAATGAATGACATTAGTAAAACACGGATCGATTCTAAGCGTACACCCAAAAATCCTGATGATGATACTCAATTAAGCAAACACTATAGCAGAGTCCCGTAACGGTGTCGCGAGTCCAGAGATTTTATCTCATCTAAAAATATGCGTTAAAAGATGTTTTCCCTTGAAAAAAGTTGTAGTGTCCGGAATTCTGAATCTAAACCATTTTCGAATCGACTTGAAGACACAAAAAAATTTCATTAAAATCGGTCCAGCCGTTAAGGAGGAGTTCAGTGACATACACGGATATATATAAAGATGTAGTTTTTCTAATTTCGATTGCTTATCATACGTACGTAGTTGGTACTACTAGATGACTGATAATGCAATCATCTATATTGGTATATATAAATTATGCAAGTAAAGCCTTTAAAGGGCGCAGTAGACGAACACCGGACAGATCCCGGGTGACCCTACTAAGACCGTGATTCGACAAGCGTATGCACTCAGGCAAAATAAGCCATAATAAAAAAAAGTTTAGATATCAAACACAAATATCTGTAATAAGCGAATGATTCATTAGACACAATAAATTGACATCGTGGTATACAATACCTCTTAAAATACTGCGAGAAAGCTTTACTTTTGTTTCACTTTGGTTGATGATTTAGTCTAAATACGATCGAATACGTAACGAGTCCTGTACCATTAAAACTCGATTCAAGATTTACAGTAAATTTGTCAATTAAATTAACGTTACTAAGTGCTAATTGGCGTCTTCCAGTGTAGTAGTTAGATGGCCAGTAACATTTAAACTACTTATTAACCGGATAGCTACAAAAACAAAATGATTACCTCTTATAACTGCTATTGTGCGGCATTGCTTTCGGAACGCTCCTTTCAGATCTTACATCCTTTTCCTCTTAGTCCAAGTACCACTACGTGTCTAAGATTACCATTTCGCACCTAGATCCTTTTCACAAATTTGCGACGATTAAAACAAGGCCATCGTGAGAACAGTTTTATTACGATGGTGATGTTGAATTCTGCAGGCTCAGTGTCTCGCCCTGATCATTTTCAGCAGACGCCTCTTGCGGTAGACGGGCACGTCACTAGGCCAGCCGGAACTCTTCGGCCGTTGTGGAGGACAGCTGAAAATATTTTTATTATATTAGGAAAGTAAACAAGACATGGTTCTATATTACACTGCAGTTTTATTTATTTAATGCATCCGAAACCTGTCAAGTGACGTAGAAGTCCATCAGTTGCGGCAATCGCTTAACACCAGGTGAATCACCTGCTCGCTTGCCAACTCTTCGCATAAAAAACGTGGCACTGCAGTGTCTGCTTGTCTGTTTATGGTGTGCGGCGAAGACACCTTCGGCATTATACCACATCGACGCTAGTGTTTATATTTATATGCCGTGAAGTTATAACCCTCTAATGTCTCTACAAATGAGGTCGATGGACCCTCGTCAAGAACTCCGATTAAGCAGTTTTATTTAAAATGTCAGAAAAGTGAAAAAGTATTTTTATAAAACTTAACAACGAAAAAGACAAATTCAAAGGAATGGAAAAATTTAAATAATGATAATCAGTAATTTTATGTAAAAATATATTTGATTTTCTTTAGTACCAGTGCCTGCATTCAAGAACTTATCTACAAAAATTCAAACGCACTCTTCGAACAAAGGCCACGCAGCAGCCTCTGCTGTTGTATGAATGGGAAGGCTCGTCCAGGGTAATACCACTACCTCACATAAGGCAACTATTAAATGTGGCAAAGTTGCAGATGCAACCCTATGTATATTGCAGATGATGGGCGACGGTAATCACTTAACGTCAAGTGAACATCAAGCGCGCTTCTGAATTGTCTTCATAAATGTGAATCATAAAACTCATCGTGCACTTAAGATTTAAGATTAAAATTTATAGAAAAAGTATGAAAAGATTGTCACCGCTGTGGGTATCGAACCCATGTCTTCGGCGTCGCAGCCTTACGCTTTATCCACTAAGCTAAACGGCTGATTGCTACACCGACGAAAAACTGTCTTCATAACTCAGGGAAACATGAGAGCTTATATTGCTGCATGACATTAATATTGCAGCGGGAATGAAACACCTTTAAGCAATTTAACGACGTACCACATTTGATTTGGACGGTGACGAAGATTTGTTCCTAGGAGCGACGATCACAATTTTCTTCGGGAGTTTAATTACTTGCGTACACTGCGATTTCAACCGGCGGTGGGAGGTCTTTTTCTGGATTGCGTACTTTGTAGGCCTTTTGAAAGTAGCCCGTTGGTTACCCGAGTCGGTGGCGTATTTGGGCTTAGAGCACAAACGCACCAATTCGCAGAGCGGATTTTGGAAGAAGGTATGTTTCAGTTCTTCCGCGTGGCGCGACCGCGACGGCAATCTGACATTCGACGGGACGTAAGCAAAGTCACTGTCAACATTTTCGGGGGCCTTGCCCTTTTGCCGCCACATTCTTTTGTACATGTTATAAACACTTCCTTTCTTTAGTTGGGTCGGGTAGACTGTCGTCGGCTTCACACTAGTTGTGGGCAAGTTGAGGCAACCATTGATAAGAATGCAAGGTGGATTATGAATGCACAGTATTTCTCCATTATATTTCTGTTTCAGTATCTTTTTGATTTCCTCGTGCGAAGCCTGACATGTCTTTTCCTTCTTCACTGTTCTGGATTTACTAGGGGCACATTCTTCTTTCACATTCACCTTTGGATATGGTTGTTTTAGTTTAGGTGAAGTGCACACCGCACAGTCACATTTGTCAACTTTCTTTGGATTCAGTTGGACATCTCTGGAAGCAGTGTCGAACGTACCAAAGCATTCGCAGCTGCAGGCTTTACTCGCCAACTCCTTTAAGGGTTTCAAATCAATCTTTGCTATGTTTTTTTCCTGACCCGTAAAAACTTTACTGTGTTTCTTATCAATTTCATTTGCAGTTGTCTGTGATGCCTTAGCGCCACATGGTATCTTCGGTGTTTTATCTGTTGTTTGTGAATGCTTACATGGACAACAATAATCGGAATCCACTTGTTTATTTTGTTGCTTCATCTGCTTCTTAGTTATTTTATCAACGACATATTCCCAAAAACTGGAAGAGGCAGATGGCAACTCGCTGCGGGGGCTTGCGTTTGTTTCGGCATTTCTTGTTTTAGGCTCCTCCCAACATGGAGTTGCAATAACCTGATATGGAGCCGAATGCCTGATTCTGGAGGGACACTGTTGTTTCTTGTCCTTGAAGTATTTTCGATTTGATATATTTTTCACGTAGCCTTTAAGAATATTATTTTTCACGTACCTATGGTCGTTATTTTGCCAGGAATTGTATTCGATTTCAGAGTCGAAAGAGGAAAGACTGCTGGAGCTGTATTCGTAAAACTGACTTCTATATTCTTTGGCGTTGTAAAATAATGAGGATCTCAGTTCATTCGCTGGTCCGACGGAAATCGGTGGTCTGTAATCACCGATAATGTAACGTGGGGTTATCATGTCGTAGTACAGTCGTCTTCTCAACCTTCTGACACGTCTTCTTTCGCAACGGGCGCAATAAAACTCATCATTGGTATCGGAAGACGAGTTCTTGAATTTCTTTCCAGAGTTCTTTGTCGGGGCGTTGAACATATTCGAAATGCCCGGGAACATTTGCTGTGTCTTCAAGAACTTCGAAGTATTTTTTATAACGACACTGCGGCCGCTTTGAAAGCTGTTAATGCGGTAAACACTTTTAGTGTCTTCCTCGTAATTGTGACAGTTCAAAAGCCTCTCCATGCTTATCTTTTGGTCGGCTAGGTGTTTCGTCTGGTCACATTTGCCATCATTTGTGGCGACTTCGTTCGGCGTTTCGATTCCTTTATAGTTCTCCACTTGTCGCAGAAGACAGCTCTTTGTTACATGCACGTGCTTTCCCCACTTCGACACGAATGCTTTGGGTGAATCATTGAACTCTGAACTATTAGAGTGTTGCTCTACGAAACTCGGGTCGTAGCTAATGACAAAATTGCTGGAACGGACCTCATTCATAGCGCGTAACCATTTCACTGTGACCCGTTTTCCTTTTTTTTAGCAGTTTTATTGTTTTATAGTCCCTTACATATTTTGTGTCCAAAAACGTCAACTTACATTTATGATCTGTCAGTAATATTGACGTTGGATTTACTTTTTTATATTATTCTGAAACCGTTATCGGATGTAAATAATTTTGTCAAAGTGGTAAAACGCAGTCGCTGCGTATTTCATTTTATTTATTTATTTTATCTGTAGGTAGGAATGCCGGGAGCTATGCCGGGAGAATGCTAGGAGACGTTTACGCGGGTGGTCTTACAATACAAAACTCATTCAAAATTATGTATAAAAAAGAAAAATGCTGCTATTAAATCCGCACATTTATTATAATAGAGCCATAAACCAATAATACAATTTTGGATCCATATTTTATTTTTACTTATTTTATGCGAAAAGTTGTCAAACGAGCAGACGGTTCACCTGATTTTAAATGAATACCGACGCCCATGGACATCTGCCGCACCCGAGGGTTACAGATACGTTGACAACCTTTTGAAAATTGGGCCCCAGCTACCTCATTCACCAGACGAAACGCAAAGTATTTGTCATACTTCCACTTTACGCTGGACTTCTGTGAGGTCGTGGTACTTACCCGGAGAAGCCTGCCCATTCGTGCAACAGCCGAGGCTGCTGCGGGGCCCTACCACCGTTAAATTATTTTGATTTATAAATTTAGATTAATTTAACGACGATAAAAAATTAGGGGACACTTTCAAAGCTCAGAAAAAGAGCATAATACTTTATACTATCTTGAACTACGGGTTACTATTTCAGCGCTATAAATAATGTGTCAGAACAACTTAAATTTAAAACCTGAAAGAACACTGTTTTTCGTTGTACACGAACTCTCACTTTTCTCATCCTTTAGTTATTAATATATAATAAGCTATTTTGTCCCAAGCGTTATATTCATCGTCAGTGATTACCGCACGTAAGAAATACCAGTAGATGTTAGCTCATTGTCCACTGGGATTCAATTCCTCGACCGTAATTCCCCAATCAGACATCACAGCTATTACGCTATCACTACCTGTTTTTGTGTAATGCGTCGATCAATATCTTTTCTAGATCGTTAGCACATGTATGTCTATCAATTTTTGCATTCCATGCAAATGCAAAGAATCCGACAACGGCTGGAACACATCCTTACTAATATTATAAACGCGAAAGTTTGTATGTATGGATGGATGTTTGTTACTCTTTCACGCAAATACTACTGAATGGATTCTACTGAAACTTTACAATAATATAGCTTATAAATCAGAATAAGACATAGGCTATAATTTATATACATATTTTATGTCTATCTGTCTTTCTGTCTGAATGTTACGCCTTCAGCCTATTCTACGCAGACGTAGTCGCGGGCAGCAGCTAGTATATAATATTTAATAACGCCTCTTTTACGCGAACGTATAAGTTAACGACTATTAACGCTTTAAAGACTAACAATAAAACGCCGCTAACAGGACAAGGTCAAAGAGTATGCTGCATTAATATTTATTTTTGTACTTAGTATGTTGTATTTAACCGCCGGTAGCGAGATGGTTACCTAAGCGGCGAATTCTTTGTGATTACGCAAATGTTTAATTCAATATGTTCCATAATCCAAGCCATTGTTGAGGAAAAGAAACTTTGTATTTGACTTTAAATTTGTATAATCAATGTTTGTATATTGTACTCGCATGCTTGCACGAAGTAGGCTGTTGCTTAACAAGAGATTTTTTTTGTCGTATTTTCCTCACCGGTGCTTCAGATATGTGACCAGTCCATACATATTGGTCCCACTGCTGGGCAAATGCATTTTTACTAGAGTACAATTGACCCAGACTGCTACATTGTATTCTCAGAATTTGTACAATAATTATGATATAATTTCTTAAATAAATCCCTAGTTATGTAATCAATTTATGTCAATGAGAAATATTTTATTAATAAGACACAAGATCCAGAATAAGCTTGTGTATCAATTGCATGTAAGAAGTTTACAAAAGATTTATTTTTGAGTTTATACTGGTGTTCTAAAGTATCTCGTATTTCGGTATTAGATTAACAATTTAGAAAAGAATTCCTCCAATTATTGTAAACAAAGCAAACGTTTACGCCATTAACCTTATGATTGTACATAATTATATTAAAATTTAATAATTAAAATCTTATAACGCGAGTAAATATAATATGTCTCTATATGATTCTCAATGTGGAATGCGTCACTTGCAACATTCCTAGATAAAAGATGCAAATTAGAATAAATAAATTAAAATATGACAAAATAAAAATAAAATAAATCTTATTTATCTTTTCTCTTTTTTCTAAGCAACTCCACTGCGAGTGGCCACTCCTAGGAAGCGTATCGCGGAAATAAAAGAAAACGACAATAAAAATGTTACCGTTCCAAGCTCCAATTTTAAGGCTTAATTAATCATTAACAAAAACGTGATTCGAAGGCGGCGATACTCGTAAATCTCCACCCCGACACCCACGAATTTATGTTTCTCAGTCGCTTCTTCGCGGTTCTTTGTTTTTCTGATAACGGTTTTTAATTACTTACGCGCGGTGCGGATTTAGTGAAACAATGGAGTCTTCCTTAAAAACAAAAATGTTATATTTTCAATCGCTATAATTATACTCAAATTATGTACAATATTTTCTTATAATAGGTACTATATCTTTATTCTAAAACAATAAAATTTACCTTCACACCGAAAATTACAAAAAGGTCAACAGCTACCTTCCGCCAAACTCGATTTGAAAATGTTAACAAGTAACGCCAAAAAGTAATTATTAAACGATCAACATTCCAAATTCAATTATGTATCAAGTCAAAAGAAAATTGTTAAACGTTTGATTTAAGGTCGTTTTCCGATTTCAATAACGTGAAAATATAACAGCGATTCACTAACTTAGAGTAGTCCTGAGAAGTTCATGCACCTCTACCTATCACATAATCGTATAACTCTTATTAAATAGTATGTTAGTAAAAGTTAATGTTATAAAATAATCATGCCAGTAAATTAACTTCGGATTGCATGCGCTCACCGTATGCGGTAGATAAACCGCCATATTTCCTCTGCATTAAGCATCAAAACAAACATGTTTGTCCGTCGTTCATCCGCACAGAAGGAAAAAATCCTTCCTCGCATTGTCAGCGGGAACTGCTATAAATCATCAACTACTCTAATAATTAACAACGTCCTCTTGCATAAATTCATCGTCACTACATTCTCTGTGAATAATGTGGACGAAATCATGTTTTTGGACTAGCTTATTAGGGCTTTTTCTTTTGGATTTAGTAACGGAATTGAAATTAAGCTTAATTGATGTGTATTCATTACATATATTAATGTTCACATCTTACGAATCCAGCAATATGACGAAATGTATCATTCCCAAAAGTTTTTAAAAGTTTTCTTTTTATAACCATTGTCATAGAATTTAGTTGAGCCATTTCCAAACCTATACGTAACCAGCTTTGAGACGGAGAGACAGACGAAAAATTAAAGAGCGGTTACTAATTATTATTAGACATCGTATAAATAGTGGCCGTCACTTAAATTTTGGCGTCTATTTTGAACTCATGGACTTCAATTTTGTTATCGGTATAGCTGCATCGTTTTGTTATGCGTATTCGTGTAATTGGCAATGACAAAATATCATCGATGCGTCACTAAAGCATCATGTATGGCAATGTTAAATTGTTAATCGTACTTTACATTATTTTATAACTGCCTGTAATACTGTCTGAAAATTTTTATACTTTAAAAAGATAACGGTATCAATTGTCACTTACGGCATAATTTTGGCGCAAAATTGGGATATCAACTATGGACTTAAGGTAATTGTATTTTTAATGAGATAAATTTTGATGACTCCGTGGCGCAGTTGCCAAGGTATTGGCTTCAGCGTCGGGGGTCGTGGGTTCCATTCCCGCACGGGACAACTATTTGTACGACCCACCAATAGTTGTTTCTCATCTTGGTTTTTGTCCTCGTGCAATTTGTGTTTGTAAAACGTCCTTACAACACAGGATAATAAATTATGCTAAAGTAAGGGCAATGTTTTTTTTTACTAATTATAAAAATAAGAGATTTGAAACTATAAAATGCGGAATAGCGAGGATAATATTTTGTGTAGCGTGAATAGTGAGAACTGTAAAGTTTTTCTCATCCTGTCTAATATTATTCAATAAACATTGACCGGGAAGGTGTGTTAAACAATTTATTGGTACTGTTGAGTTCTCATTCAATTGCTCCCTGGGAGAGGTAACGCAGTCAGGGGTGCAACGCCTTTGAACGCTTTAGTTGCGGGGCTCCACGTTAAAACAAAGAGTGTATTATTATTAACGGAATTAAACGCCGAATTAATATGCAAAGGTGATACGTCATGCTGGAAGCGGTGTGCATTGGCCTGAAGGGGAAGCGTACGCCGTTCTGGACGTTTTGATATTTGAATGCGTTCGATAGATTTGTTCGTTGTTCGCAGGCACAAATAGTGCATTATGTTTAGTACGTATTGAAATTATCTTATGTTAAATAATTAATATCAATATTTAGTGTTCCCCAATTATTAAATATACACTATTTATGAAATGATTAAAGCAAAATAATATAATAATTCCCTTTGACAGTAAACAATTTTATGATGCGGTAAAAAAGTAAAGTTTGATGTATTTTATTCCCTTTTACATATTGCCTATGTTGCTAATAGGGTTAGTGCGATCAAGTATCAAGTTCGTCTGGTCGCTTAAAGAGCGATAAGCAACGCGTCACACTACGAAATAATAGGAAAGGAATAAAAAAAAAACAACCCAAGGTGAATGCCGGAGCACGTAGGTAGGTTTTAGAAATAATGAATCGAGCCAAAGGGTTCGGCATATTAATGTAATAGGGGTGCGACCCCTTGTAATCATAGGTGATCTGGCGTTGGACGATGCTCTGTCCCTTTTTTTTATTTTTCAAATT